TTATTCTTTTTCTTTTTATTCTACAAAATCTCCATTAATTAATTCAAAATAACTTAGACAATCCTTTCCATTTTTATTTCCACCAATCCAAATAAATTGGTTCTCTTTAATAAAACAAACAGTGACGCCTTATTCATTTATCGATTATTTAACAATTTAACAAAACTCCCATTTATTCTCTTTTGAATTCTTCCAAATTATAATTTATTAATCTGCTCCACAAGAAACTAAAAAAGTCTCTGATTCATTTAATGATAACCCAAAAACAATATTAGTATGTTTAATTAAAGAATAAGAGAACTTCAGATTATTATTATGAAAATCAACTTACCATATTTTAATCGATTTATCATCACTTCCAGAAAATAATGTATTCTCATTTTTACATAATAATAAACATTCAATCCAATTTGTATGTTCTTAATATGATTATTAACTGTTCCATTCTTAACCATTAAGTTGTTTCCAACATCTGATTGTATTATCACTTGATCCAGAAATAAAACTATTTTATATTTTACTAAAAAGTAAACAAGTAATATTGTTATTATGACCTTCTAATTTTTTCACTTCTTATATCTATCCATCTTTAAAATCCCATACTTTAATATATTTATTACAACCAGAAACCATAATTTATCCAGTATAATTAAAGGCAATTGAATAACAATCATTTGATTATTTAAATTGATTATTAATAGGTTTTAGAGTAATTTTAGGCTATTTAATAGAAATAATTTATAATAATGAATCTTTAGTATCAGTTATATATTTTCTATAGTCTGAATTCAATTTAGTTAATTTTAATTAAATTTTATTAATAGATGTTTTATTAATCTTAATAATAGATTCAACTAATAATTCATAATCGTTTTCATGAGATTATGATTAATTAATATAATTATCTAATTCCTATATAAAATTATAAGAATAATTAACTTACTCTTTAATAATAAAACTATCCATCCAATAATCTAATTCTTTAATAATTGAATCAATAGTTTAATTAAATGTTTATTTCCATAGATCGATACAATTTTATATTTTAGTGAGTTGTTCCTTTTTCTAAGATATAAATGAGATTTTCTTTTGTAGATTCT